CTGTCATACTTGATGTTTGTTGTAACTTAGGCTATTGTTAGGACTAAAAACAAATGACGTTTTCAGGAGAGTCATATAACAATTCAAAGCATAGGAATTTTAGAAGCCTTTGAGATTAGCGTGATGCATGTGGATGAACCAATAAAGGAGGACTTGTTTATTTTCAATACGGAACGTGGCAAGTTGAACGGCCATTCCGATCAGGAGAAACAGCTGAGAAAGTCATTGACGCATTGTGCTGTTGTGTGTTTCTCGCTTCACCACTACACTAAAATTTTAAGTGAGAATTGGAAAGAAAAAAGAAAAGAAAAAGTTCGAAAAGGGAAGAAAAGTCACGATGCATTTGAATGATCTACTGACTACGATTTAAAAACGATGAATAAACGTACAAGGATGTCAGGATGTGACTAATATCCCAACATTGCCAAAAAAATGCATTCATTCAAGAAAATATGAAAAACAAAATCCTTGCTTTGTAGGCCTAATATTTGGAACATTATTGGAACAGGTATTCAATTGTTCAAGTTACCTTTTTAAATGAGGTTTGATTTTAATTAATATCTCTTTTTCTAAGTAATAAAAAAGAGATACATATAATTGTGCATGACAAGAAAATTTCTTGATGAAGCATTTGCTTTTCTCTAATTCATTCTGTAAATTTTACAATAATTTCATATTGATTCTTCATTGATTATATTGGAAATTAATTCATTTCATTGAGTGAATGAAACTCAGTGCAATTCCTTATGCAATTCCTTAAATGTTATTGTAAAAATGAATATATATATGATTTCAGATCATGGGTCATTAATATTGGAATAGATAAGAACCAAAAAAAGTACTTTAGGGTTTCCTTAAAAGATTTGTGCCATCAATCAAAGTAGAGGTCATCCCACATCAGCTCAAGAATATTAAAGAAAGTTGGATGGATCAAGCTAAGATGTTGAACCAGACATGGCAAAATCAATGGAGATTTGGAGAAGAACTTCTGACTTGTTATACCCAATGCATATTTTTATATGTCTATAGATTATAGAAGAAAATTTAATGTTTAACAACATCCTATCTAGTATATACATGTACATGCTGTTTTCCATATATTTAGAAAATATGTGTGTGTGATGATTGCAGTTCATGCTCTGCTTGTCCATCTTTTAATTTTTTAAGATGTGTATGCGATGATTGCAGTGGATGCTCTGTTAGTCACCTTTGAATTTGTTTTCAGTAAAATAAATGTATACATCATAGGTATTAATTGAAGGTTGCTTTTGTCTATACTTACATGCAACAAGTTTCTTAAAAGGGTTTGTAAAATTGCAAGGAAATAAATGCATGAACAATTAAGATTAATATTTTTATTCATTAAATTTTGTTCTTACCAGGACCTAATATGCTCATATAAGAAAAACTGAAAACTGATGAGTTTTGTACATAAAGCTGCAGTGAATATGTTTAATTATATATATTGTAACAGTTTAAAACGTGACACTTGGAAATTGTAAGGTTGTTAATTTAGTAGGAATGATAAGACCAGTTAAGTACTCTACTAAAATTAAAATGTTACACAAATACATGTAGTTTATTTTGAAATTGTTTACATTTAAAATCTTTTAATTTTTTTTCTGTATTTTGATTTTAAAAAGGAGAAAATTTTGTTACTTTCAAAGTATTATTTCATGGATATCAAGGAGATATATCTATTACTGTAACATTGTTTCTGTTTCCCTGTTCTTGACAAATATGATAGTGTTATGTCATTTTGCAGAATTTGCCTTTTCTCTGAAATCAGAAGTACTCTGTAAACTCATTAAAGTATGAATTGATGTCACTTAGAATTCATTTTTATTTTGTTCTGTCTGATATTTCAATTTAGATTCTCAGACTACCTAATCCAATGATTGAGCTAATGTCCATGAAGTGTAGAAAATTCATGATTAAAAATTATATATAGATATTAGTATTGTTAAAAATATATGTTCCATTCTAATGTACGAGTTTTTTTTTTTCAATTTGCTATGAAGACAATTGGAAACCAAAATACAAAAGTATTTTCAAAATAACTTTACCCTTATATCATTTAATGCATGTGTTATGATATTATATTATTTTTTTTCTGAGCAGCAAAATTACCTAGACAGTAAGTATAAGCAGTGTATTTTTGCATCTTATTGTTTCTAATGCTTTCCTTCCACCATTTAATTGATACTTTTAAATAAACAACTTAGTTGTAATTATCAATTATTCTTTGAGTATTAAACTTATCTAATAGGAAATAAATGTATGAATCTCGTGTGTGTGTGTACCCCGTACATGTATTGAGTTGAACGATTACCCTACTGTATCTTGTGCTATTAATTATGACATATGTTTCTGCCTCATTTTTTATCAGAAGAATGAGATAATAATTTTTTAAAAGGAAAATATGAATATTAAGCCTTTTCTTGCCAAAGGAGAAGGTTTGTATGATTTTTATTAAATGCCAAGACGTTGATGCAGTTTTATTTTGTGATGATCCAGTTGGGAACACTATTCAATAAAGTATAAGTGAAGGCCATAATACTTTTATTTAAAAAAAATACTTGTAATAACTTTAGACTCAAATTTACAAAAAATGCAGCATCCTGGATTTACATACTGTATTTAAAAAATGTTTCTAAATTCTTTAAGTGTTTATTTTCATTTAATTAAATTATTACTGGTGACGGAAGGTGGAAGTGTTACACTGTAGTCTATTGATAATTTAATGTACCCGAGATATTTATCAACGTAAAATGATTAAATTGTTAAATGCTACATGTAGCAACCTTGATTTTGAGCATTTTTTTTTTTGCCAGAACAATGCATTCCTTGGACACTGTTTGCTCATTTGCTAAAGTTAAAGTGTTTTTAAATGTACCCTATATTGTTTCAATTATACCTATTTTAATTTTTAATCTGCCTTTTGTGTGAAAAGTGTTTTGATTTTATGTAACTTTCATTTTAAATACTCTGAATTTACATTAATAGACATGTAAATAAATATCAACATGTTACAAAAGACACATACCCGGTAGTTCATGTTTCTTACAACTTACATGCATACATATCATAATTTAATTCAAAAGTAATTTATTCAAGTTATGTGACAAGAAAATTATTCTCATTTCTAATATCAAAAAGATATTTTTATAATAATAATATTCACACCTGTAAGCTTTACTTATTTCATTCATTCCTGTGCTAGCTGTTGCTCTACACCTTTTTTCTAATTCTCATAACTGTTAAATAACATATTTATGTCCAATATTCTATTGAAATTGAAAAGCATAATCTCTATAAAATATATATATTTGCCTATGAATTTTATCCTAAAGATTTCTTTCTTTCTAGTTTTTTTTTCACCTTTGAATATTATTATAACGATTTCTTTTCTTTTCAAAGGTAAACTCGTGACAACGTGTTGGCCTCGGAAAGAGTTGGTCGTTCTTATATTGCAGAAATACCAGATTTCTTGAAGAACAGACCAGCATCTTTTATTAAGAACTGCATGACGAAAATAGATCTTGCAGAAACAGTGGAGGAGACCGATATCATGCAGATGTCTGCCACCTGTTTTAAGGTATGTTCATTTACTAGGTACAATGTAGTTGTATTGGCTTTAAATAGAAACAAAGGTGTAAATAATACATGAGCATTCAAATTTATTAATTAGATTAATTTGGGTTTAAAACTATAAACATGTATCTTATTAACAAAGTTATAATTTAAGCAAAGGCATTGTTGTATTTCACTTCTCCTGAGACATTTAAGGTAGAAAACTGTTAAAGACAATATTCTGAAAGTATCTGTTGAATATTATTTTGCAGATTAAAAGTTTGTCAGACTCTCGAAAGAAGGTAGAATATGATGCCCTGTTAGATAATGGCCATGGAATGCCAAGTTGTGGGTGTCATGCATGGACATGGACTCTTCTACCATGCAGACACATATTTGCAGTCTTCAATGGCAGATTTCCTGATGTATCATGGAAGAACAACCCCTTGAGTTACAGCAACTCACCTTTTTTCACATTAGATTTTGATGTTGTGTCCATATCAGTGTCCGGTTCTGTAACAAATGAAGATGAACTTTGTGACGAGGGGGATGTTTTATGTGATTTCACTGGTGAAGACATAGGGCTCTCTGATGCAACTCTACCATCTTGCCAAAAAATGCCAAGATCAAAATTAAAAATTTTAGCCACCAAATGTAGAGAGAGTCTTTCAATCATTCAAAATGCCACCTATCTTTGCAAAGATGAAACTACACTAGAACATCTTAGTGTTTTACACAATGAAGCATGCTCCTACATAACAACAGGCTACATAAGGAGGAGGGCCTAATCCCAGAACCTTCTAAGAAAAGAAAAAGAGTTCAAGAACAACCAATGTCTGCCAAAAAAAAAGAAATTGGACACAAAATCAGAAAAAACGTCTAAAATTAAGAAAAAGAAAGGAAAACAGAAGTTCAAGATATGGAAAGACAACATCAAGATCTCATTAGAAGATCTAAATAAGGAAAAAGAAAAGGAAATGATAATAATCGATGGCCATTCAACTGTGCCACAATCAATTCTGGAGTGTATTGCAGGTAGTTTCCATCCCCCTCCCCCCAAAAAAAAGAAAGAAAACAATACCATTAAGACAGCATTTAATCTAACACATCCATTTTTCTTTGGCAGAAATGGTCAGTCAGATGACAAGAATTGAATGGGATGCTCTTATATTCAAGGCAACAAAAGAGGCTGCAACATCAACAGATACAATCTCACAAATTGCCGTTACTTTACTTGAAGAATGCTGTGGAGATGATCACATTCAGACTCTGAAGACCATATCTGATAACCATTGCCCAAAGGATATGACAAACCCACAGAAATTTAGAATGGCACTTTTAATGCTACATAAACTCGGTAATTATATATATTACCTTTTAATTATGAAAATAAATTTAATTTGCCTATATCCTTGATGAATTTTAACATTATACTTTTCTAGTGGAGACAAAAAAAAAATCGTTTTGAAAAGAAATTTTGAGAAGGAACGCATGGAGAGGGAAGCTTCCGAAAAAGCATGTGCAGAAGCCATAGCTCGGATGGAAGGTTTCAGCAAATCAGAGCCTACCCCAGAAGGTCAGATACAGATTTTGAAGTTTGAATTTTGTTTAATAAATGCCTCTCAACAAATAAATATCTGATGCCCTAAATGATAGATATGTACCAGTAGCTAAATATTCAAAAGTTATGACCAAGGTCAAAGATTTTGAAAAGTTGGTCAAACTTCAAGATCACAGTGTCAAAAATCAGTGTATTGAGTAAGGCCTTGTCACAAGTAACACACCTGTGTAATATGAAAGTGTTATCTCTACTTATTCAAAAATTATAACCACGGTTAAGGTTTTTGTGACAGGCGGACAGATGAATGAGAATTAATGCTCCCTCACTTTCTCAAAAGTAGGGGTCAAAGAATATATATATATAGTCATTAATTAATTGTATTATGGACTCATTTATTTAAACCCTTTTTTACATTTAATTAGTAATGAATGTACATGTATATTTTCATCTTATATTCTATTAAAGCATCTGAAATCAGAAGCCCTTCTAAGAAAAAAGGGAAAAAGAAAGTACAGTGGGAAACGGGCGAATCAACGGCTCACTGTAAAGAGAAAACCTGGACTGACATTGATTCACAGAAAGGTAACATAGATTGAAGAGTTTTACTGTTTAATTTTTAAATACTTTTTGTATGAATACATCTGATATAAGTATTAAACACTTTATAGCCAACAACAAGCTTATGAAAATATGGGATCAGGAAACGGCAACAAATTGCATTAAAGCCCGAGTTTATGGTTATAAAGTCAGTGATGCTGATCTCATGTCTCTAAAAAGTACGTAGTTTGAACACGCTGACTCTTAAACAAGAGTAATAAAGTATTTAGTTATATAAATTTTTCGGATAAATTAGACTTTTGAAGAGACTTTTTAGAGACAGATGTATTCATACAAAAAGTATTTAAAAATTAAACGGTAAAACTCTTCAATCTATGTTACCTTTCTGTGAATCAATGTCAGTCCAGGTGAAGAAATGATAAAAACATGTTTATTTTTAACAAGCATTCTGCAACTTTATATGCACATTGAAATAAGGTGTAAAGTTCATGACACTCACCCCATCATTACAGCTCAAGTATGCAGTTACTTGACGTCATTTTCAATTATGAACGTCATACAATTGTAGTTCAGAGAAGAACACTACAATATTCTCTGGGAAGCCTTATCGTACCTGCAAAGAAAAAAAATGTTTGTAAGAATAAAAAAAAATTCTTTTTTTAGCTCACCTGAGCCTTTCTGATCAAAATTTGTCCGTCGTCTGTCGTTGTTGTCGTAAACTTTTCACATTTTCATCTTCTTCTCAAGAACCACTGGGCCAATTTCAACCAAACTTGCTACAAAGTATCCTGGGGTAAAGGGGATTCAAGTTTGTTCAAAAGAAGGGCCACGCCCTTTTCCAACGGGAGATAATCATGAATTAGAGAAAAAATAATGGCATTTTTAAAAAATCTTCTTCTCAAGAACCACTGGGCCAGGAAAGATGAAACTCATGTGGAATCATCCTCAGGCAGTGTAGATTCAAGTTTCTTCAAATCATGATCCCCGGTGGTAGGATGGGGCCAAAATGGCCGATCAAAAATTACATAGGAATATAAAGGAAAAATTTTCTTCTTAAGAACCACCGAGTCAGGAAAATCATGACCCCCCGGGGGTAGGGTGGGGCCAAATGACAGATGAAAGTTTTACATAGCCATGCTTCGTGATATTTATAGGGAATCATCCTCAGGTAGTGTAGATTTTAGTTTATTCAAATCATGACCCCCTGGGGGGTTAAAATTCAAGCCCCCTCCCCAGTAAACTTTCAGTTCTGATCTGATGTGCTTTTTCCTAGCCAACTGCTCAGGTGAGCGATGTGGCCCCTGGGCCTCTTGTTTTTTTTTTTTTGGTTTGTAATATCATTCGGTCTAACGCGCTTCGATCAAATGTCAACTACGAACCGTTGATTGACCAGATTTTATTTGCAACAGTGACTTAGATGTTTCAAGTGCAAGCTCTGATAGTGAAATTGTTCCACTTAAGCACTCTAAAAAAGACATATGATAGAACAGTACTAATGTATGTGGGCCTGCAGAAAAGTTAGACAGCAACAGAGAACAAGAGGCCCATGGGCCACATAGCTCACCTGAAAATCTTTGACCATTCTGTTCTTTACCAGAATTCCTCCTTGTAATACATAATGCATCCCCACCCTACCCCACTGATCATAATTTAGACATTTTGAAATCTACACTACCCCAGGATCCTTCAATGTGCACATGGCCCAGTGGTTCTTGAGAAGAAGATTTTAAAAGTTTTTTCCTATATATTATGTTAAACTTTGATTTCCCGTTGTGGCCCCGCCCTTTCCCCGGGGTCATGATTTGAACAATTTAGAATCTAAACTAATCCAGAATGCTTCCACAAAAGTTTCAGCTTTTCTGGCCCAGTGGTTCTTGAGGAGAAGATTTTCAAAGATTTTTCCTATATATTTCTATGTAAAACTTTGATTCCCCACTGTGGCCCCACCCTTCCCCGGGGATCATGATTTGAACAATTTAGAATCTACACTACCCCAGAATGCTTCCACATAAGTTTCAGCTTTTCTGGCCCAGTGGTTCTTGAGAAGACGATTTTCAAATATTTTCCCTACATATTTCTATGTAAAACTTTGATTCCCCATTGTGGCCCCGTCCTTCCCCCCGGGGGTCATGATTTGAACAATTTAGAATCTACGCTACCCTAGGATGCTTCCAAATAAGTTTCAGCTTTTCTGCCTCAGTGGTTCTTGAGAAGATTTTTTAATGACCTCACCCTATTTTTGTTTTTTCTTGATTATCTCCCCTTGTGGGGGGACTTGGCCCTTTATTTTAACAATTTAAATTCCCCTTCACCCAAGGATGCTTTGTACCAAGTTTGGTCAAAATTGGTCCAGTGGTTCTTGAGAAGAAGTCGAAAATGTGAAAAGTTTACAGACGGACAGACAGACAGACGGACAAAATGTGATAAGAAAAGCTCACTTGAGCCTTTGGCTCAGGTGAGCTAAAAAGATAAGATTATTGAACCTAAGCAACAAGACAATAATTATCAAGTGGAAGATGACATCAGTGAAAAAGCAGATAAGGATTGTGACATGCCTTCCTCTAGAAGCACTGCAGATGAGGAATGTGGCTTTGATGATAAGTATAGAAAGATATATACAAAACGCTTTGAATTACCTTGTTATATTTAGAATGATCCCTGTTCGTGAATGACATCTTTTTACAGTCCGAAATCCAACTACATCAATTATCATCAAATTCGCAGCTATGATTAATGCAGGCACGGGTCCCAACCCCCACCCATGTGATTAAGTTTCTGGCACGTTGTAACATCTCATCAAAAGACGAGTCGAATCTCTGGAAGAAAGAAAATTCTCAAATCATCCGTTAAAGAATGGGTCTCTGACATACGAAAACACCACAGGACTAGAAACATCGACAACATGCATAATCACCCACCGTATGTATTGGAACAAAAGTGCCAAAAAGATAAAAAGTAAGAACAATATCGCTAATTGTAGGCTCAAGTGCATCCAACTCCTAAAACAGATATCTTCATCTATATATCTCAACCCCCACAGCCGAATCTTCTTCCATTACATGAAAATTCTTCCATTACATGAAAAGTTAGAAGTAGCAGCTTCTTTGGTTAAAGAGTATAGTTGGTGTTGCTGAAGGTTCCTGTGAGAGGGCACAAGAAGAGGAATAGGGCAGTTCTCCTGCAAAAAATGTGGGAAGTTTTGTGCTGGATCTGGGATGTGGATGGCAATATGTCAGCTATACTGGTATATATTGCATTAAAATATTGACGAGTCATTAAATCATAAGCTGTTTGTCTTGGGTCCCTTATCGTAAGATGATGGTATCTCCAAGACATGCATGGATAGTTGGGATATATACAAGGTCTATGAGATCAGAAGAAAAGTATGCAACATATTTCAATTCTGTACTAGTAGAAAGGGAAAAAATACAATAAGGATAGTAATATGAACTGGTCAGGTTTGTAAATTTCAGTATGATTAAGCTAGCTGAAGCTTCCTTTGATCAAAGATAAAGTAAACAAATTCTTCTATAACAGTTTTACATATAAACGTTTTTTCAAAATTTTTACTTTAGTTCTAAGTATCAGATCCAAAAATAATTTGTTCTGGAAAATACCCAGCATCCATGGGAAAAGGACAGCTTTAACTGTTTAAATATATTTTTCAAATACTTCACTCATAATATCTCAACTTTACCGAAACTAATTGTTTTCAAAAGGATGGAGCAAAGGAATGGATCAAGATATGGCAGACAGGGAATTGGAACATGACAATGACACAACAACACGTCATCTTGTCTCTATAGTCTTAAGGAGTTTAGAAAACACCTTATTTATTCTAGGTACACACAGACCAAATTACTGATATTAATACTTTATGTTGCAGTGGACAGACTAAATTGCTTATATTAATACTTAAAGTCGTAGTGGACAGACAGTCGAGGGCGTTGACAAGACTTTTAATACCCGTGACATGCCTTTCACTTCTTCTTTATTAGTGTAGCGGCTTATATAAAAATTTCAGCAAAATAGTTCACTTGTGAATACAAGCATGAAATTTGGCACAAATGTCTATCTGATACTACTAAATCTAAAAACATCGTTGGCCACCGCGATTTCCGCCATTTTCAAGATGGCCGCCACTAAAACAAAATGGTGCCTTTTTATGCAGTTTGGCCTCACATACATTCTTTTACAACCAAATTAATTATACTTTGGCCGCCTAAAGATATCTTAAAAGTTTAAAAAGACTATAAAAATCATATTCCAACTTGAATGCTATAAATATAAAGACAAAATGATTTTCTTATAACGCATTATATCGTTCCCTATTGTAGAATTTAAATATATTATCACAAGAAACCATTTTTTAAAAACTTTTAGCAGATGTTTTACAAAAGCCTCGCAGGCATTCCCTCACTATCTAGTGGGCATGAATACCAAGTAAAAGTTTGTATTCGAAAGCCCTCAATAAGTAAAATAATCCCCCAAGGAACGTAAAATATCATGGAGTGAAACGCTCCTTCAAAGCATGTAAAATCTCAATAAATGAAATAATCCTTCAGAGAACGTAAAATCTCATTGAGTGAAATATTCTTTCAAACAACGTTTAATTTTAATGAGTGAAATAATCAATCAAGGAACGTTAAATAAAAGGTAATGAATCAATTTTGTATTTATAACATAAAACAACAGGTAATCATTTGCTATCCACAATGAAGAATGCCATGGACTGTGAAGACAACACCATCCTTTTTAAATCCAAGAAAAACGCCTGTGATGGCTTGTAACCAACCTTTATTTGTTCTTGCCAATTAAATGATACGATGAGAAAGACCGGCAATTTAAGGTGAAGATATATTTGTTGTTAATATGTTTGATGGGTTGCATATTGAAATGGTAGCTTTCAAACTGCTTGGTGATTTGTTGAAAGGAAACGGCTGGATGACAGCATTAATTTAAGCAGACAGAAGTTGCATATTCTGGAACAAATGCTGAGTCTTTCCTAACAGTTTCTAATCAGGCAAGATCATCTAATTACTGCCTGCTGTCTGTATAACTTGATAAAAAGGCAGACCAAAATGCAAAGGAACTCGATAATTGCAATGAAATTGAAATAGATTATCTATTTTTCACAATTTAAATTTTGGTCAAGAATTCTTTTGGAACTCGTTGTCTTCTCTTTTGTAAAGTCTTGCGGAGAATCAGATTTTAGGCTTTACAAAG